CAGCCAGCCAGCCCTGACCCTCCATGCACAGCCAGCCTCACCCTGTGCCAGTGCCCAAGCCTCACCTGGATACAGCCAGCCAGGATACTGGTCGTCATCTTCTTGTAGAGGCTGGCATATTTCTCACAGTCCGTCACCAGGTCCCGTAGCTCTGTCACCAGCAGCAGGCTGGAGCTGTGCTTGTCCATGACCTTGGTCAGGGCCTCCTTGGTGCCCACACGGCACATCACCACAGCACAGTCTTTGTTGACAGTGGCCAGGCGGTGCAGGAAGCGAATGAATTCCTGCACAACCTGCAGAAGGAGAGGGAGGGGCTGGGGGTCAGCACACTAGGCTGGGAACCAGCAGGCCTGTTTCTGTTCTCAGCTCTGCCTGGCACGTGGCCTGAGGCAGGAAACTCCCCAGCTCGCCACACTCTTGCCTGGCTCATCTGCAGCCAGCTCATGGGCAGGGCCCAGTGCTTGGTACATAAGGGCAATGGAGTGCTGCAGTCTCTAAGCTCTCCGTTGTGTCCCAGTGGGAGGATCCAGTCCTGGCCTAGGGGCCACTGAAGGAAGTGCCAGAGCCAGAGCTAGCACCGCTCCCCATGAAACAGGTCTGAGGCAGGACCCAGCCACAACCACCCCCACATAGGACATCAGCAGCAGCTCCTGCTCCCAACCTCCACAGGGCACCCCGCAATGCCCATCCCTCAATCTGCCAGTAGGTAACAGGACCCCCCCACCTGGCCCCATCCTCACATCTCGCTCGGTGCTGTGGGCGCTCATGGAGGACATGCAGGGCTCGATGCACTCATGCCACGGCAGCGCGTCCTCCTGGTAATTGTCCAGGAACTTGTTCAAAATCCTGAGCGAGAGACAGGGGAGTGAGGACTGGGTGGAGGGGAGGGGGCAGGAGCTGCCAGTGCCCAGAGTCCCCCTCACTTTGCCACCCTTCAGGCACCCAGTTCCCCTGCCCCTGGCCAGCCAGTGCAGACACCAGCCAACCCACGCCAGGTCCCTTCTGCTTCTCCGCTCAGGGCAGCCCTGGCAGCCTTGCTCCTACCCCACACCTCCTTGCCTCAAGACCTTCCAAACCTACCCGCAGCCTTCCTCCCCCTCTGCAGGTCTCTGACCAACACCCTCCTCCCATGTCTCACCTTGGGAAATCCACAGCTACCCTCTGCCCCCAATCACCCCAGGTTCTGTCCCCCACCTGGCCACAGCCCTGCTGCTTTGGCAATCCTAGCCATGTCTGCAAACCCAATCCAGGTACTCCAGCCAGTTCCAGCATATCCCAGCCCACCCAAGGCCCCTTCAGGACACAGGAACCACAGCCTCCCACCCACTGAGCCCCCTCCCCAGGGGCCTGGCCTCCTCCCCTCACCTGAGGACCCCCAGCTGTACAGACTTCTCAGCCCCCAGCTGCTCCAGGTTAAAAAGCAGTAGCAGGAAGCGGTCCCGGTCCCTCAGGAGCTCAGCGGCCTCACTCTCATGCCAGAGGCTCTCGTCACAGAGGTGTTGCTCCAGAGCCAACACCACCTCCTTGGAGAGGATGCCCTCCCGTAGACTGGCAACCAGCTTCTGCACATCCATGTCCTTCAGATCTAGGGGGGCACCTGCATCTGCACCAGTACAACAGGCTCAGGACCTCGCTTCAGCAACACCCAGATGCCTGCAGCCCTCCTCAGCATGGCACCATCCCCAAATTCCCCCAGGCTGGGGAAAGGAGTACAAACTGAGCAGACAAGTGCTCAGGGGTCATCTCCTGGCTCAAAAGCATGGGCAGTGCATGGGGGTGGGGTAGGACATGGGGCTTAAGGAGATGCATGGCACCATGTCCCTGCCATCTCCAGAAAGCAGGAAGTCAGGAGACACCAGACATCCTGTATTTGCTTGCCTGTGGGCTCACAGGCGTTAGGAAGAAGGATGCTCTGGACTGAAGGGAAGGCACAAGACCAGTTCCTGACCTTGCCAGGCTCACAGGCAGTGGGGTCTAAAGGACCCAGAGGACTCCGTACCTGCTGTTGCCAGATCTGAGGGGACCTTGTGTTCCACCAGGCGGCTGAGCATGGCCGTGGCCAATGTCTCACTGGGACAGCTGGGCTCCGCAGGGCTCTGGCCTCCTTGGCAGCAGCTCTGCAGGGCTGAGTGGATCCCACAGCTCACCAGCTGCTCAGCCAGGCCGTGGTGGTTGTCGACAAGCATGTTCACCACCAACAGGCCGTTCTGCACAGCCGACGTACTACTGCGGAGACAGGGTGTCAGGGTAAGGGCTGGGACACACCGCTCCTCCTGTCCTCTAATGAAACAGATAGTGAAGGGGTCTCCCCACCCAGAAGCAGCCACAGAGAGATTCTGGGAGAAGCAGCCACAATCCTTCTCCAGTGCCAGTCCCACAGCACTGCTGCTGCCGGAGAGGAGGGGGTCACAGGGGGCAATTGTCCCTCAGTGCAGTTCCTGCAGACTCTGCACCTGCTTTACTCTCTGGGAGGCATTTCCCCCCTCTCTCCCCAACCTACACCCAGGACGCTTCCCCTAGCCATATGCCCATACCCAGCCATGCCCTGCATGGTGCTGATGGCAGCCGGAATGGAACACAGCAAGAATGGCACACAGCAAGCTGTCTGAGTCCTTGCTGGTGGCAGAGCCAATGCTGGCAAAGATCTCCCGCATCATCTGGGCATCAGAATGGTTCAGGGGATAGGGCTTCCCACTGGTGCCCAGCACTTCACAGTTTCCAGCCCCCACCAGCACCTTCAGGGCCTGCAAGGCAAAAACATGGAGTTGAGGGAGGAGCAGAGGACACAGAGTCACCCAACACTAGCCTAACACTGGCAGTCCACCAGGTACCCCCAGGATCCCAGCACTTGCTATCTAGTCCACAGAACCTACCTCCCCTGACAAGTACGGATGCTCATCTTCCCAACAATCCCAATAGCTGCCCTCCAGCAGAGGGCCCAGACCCGCCGCACTCCCCACTACCCCTACACCCACCCAGCCCCTCTGCACACACACTCACCGTCAGACCAGCTTGCTGAACCAGTGCCGAGGGGCCGTACTCTTGCATACAAGTCAATACAGCACGTACCCCACCCTCCGTGGCAAAGAGCACACGCCAGTCATACTTGGCCATCAGCACGCACAGCAGGCGCAACGCCAGCACCACCAGCAGCTTCTCCTTCACCTGGTTGGTCAGGAGCTCCACAAGCATCTTCACCAGCTTCTCCCTGCACAGAGCAACAGCTGCTTAGGCAGGGGCCACAGCAATCGGAGACCCTCACAGTGCAACTGCAGGGACGAGGCCTGCTGCCTAACTCAAAGGCAGTTCCCTCCTAGGAACTGGATCCCCAACCACCCCAACAGGCCATCCTTATTCACAGAATCATAGACATTAAGGGGTGGAAGGGACCTCAAAAGATCAACTCCACCCCCCCTACTCTGGGCAGAAATACTGCTGAGATCAAACGATCCCAACAAGTTGTCTGTCCAGTCTCCTCTTGAAGACTTCCAAGGTTGTGGACTGCATCACTTCCAAGGGAAGTCTATTGGTGGCCCCCCCACCCATCTGACTAGTCCCAAGAAGACAGTGAGAGATAGCAGTCTGTGCCAGCAATCATATTCACTGTGAAAAATACAGCCTCTGCATCCAACCCACACTTCTCTGGCTTTGACTTCCAGCCCTTGGCTCTTGCTCGGCTTTCCCCTGCTGGACTAAAAAGATATTTTGCACCTGGTCCTCTCCTTCATCAAATCACCTCTCCCAGTCACCTGGAGATGTCCACACTTGTTATGAAGGAGGCTGAAGGACTAAAAGGGACCAGGAATGAGAAATGAGAACAATTCAGAGCCTTGGAAACCTACCCTCCAGTGACTGAGTGAGGAAGTTTGAACCACAGAGTTATGTGGAGGAAGATGAGGAGGAGGTTTGATCACAGTGTACAGGTACCTACATGAGCATTTTGGGTTCTGGAAGGCATTCAATCCAGCAGAAAAAGGCAGACAGAGCCAAGACCAGAGGCTGATGTCAACAAAGCCCAAATGAAAATAAAACAACCTTAAGAGGAAGGGTAATTAGCCAGCTGACCCACTTCTGCAGGAACAAGGGAATTCTTCCATCCCTTAGAATCTTCCAATCTATAAAGACATCTGTTTTAAAGACCCACTAAGTGAGAAAAAGGCTCCCCACTCCAAGAGGTGATGAAGGGCTCTATCTTATGCTATACATGGTCAGGCTAAGTAATAACCATCCTTGAACCTCTTTGATTTCCACCCCACTTCTTTGCATGAAGTTTTATTTACTTCCGCTGTCTCGAGGCAGGGACCATACACATAGCAACACAGCCCTGTTCTATCTGGCCTATTATGGTACTACCCCAGTGCAAATAAAGTCAAGAAAAAAGAGGATAGCTAAAACAGAGCCCATCTTAAGGCAAAAAGGAGGACCTGGGAAATTACAGAATGGTCAGCCTGACTGCAATACCTCAGAAGTTCTGAAGCAAAGTATAAAGAAGTCCATATGCAAGCATCTGGAGGAGAAAAGGCTGATCATAAACAGCCAGTACAGGGTTATTAAGGATAAATCATGCCAAACCAACTCAACCTACTTCCTTGACAACATAATTAAAAGGGTGGATAAAAGGAATGCACATGGACTTAAGTAAGGCTTTTGATAAGAGTCCCACATGGCTTTCTTTCAAGTGAACTGGAGAAAGGTAAGCAAGATAAAATTACTACAAAGTTGGGTATATAATAGGTTCAATAGCTGCAAGCAAAATATAATTATAATTAGACCAATATTGGAATGGCAAGAGGCTTCAAGTGAGATTCCACAGGGTCTGTCCTGGGTCCAATGCTGTTTAATATGTTTATTAATGATTTGGATGCCAGAACAGAGAGCTTCCTGAGCAAATCTGCAGATGTCACAAAACTAGAAAGAACTGCAAATACTCTGGAGGCTGCATCAACAGGAGTATTAAGTGTAAGGCAAGAGAGAAGGCAGTATCAACTCATTTTGTGCTGCTTAGGCCTCAGTTAGAGTATTGCCTGAAGTTTTGGACTCCATATTTTAAGAAGGATGTGCAGAAGTTAGAGAGGGTCCAGAGGTGAACAACAAAATGAAAAAGGGGTTGGAAGGCAAGAGGTATAAAAACTAGAGAAGAAAAAAGGGAAATTAAGGTAGGGTGAGCATGACAGCAATTTCAAACATTTGAAATGCCGCTATGAAGAAGGCAAATAACTGTTTGCCCTTGTTGCAGAGGGCAAGACAGGAAGCCTAGGTTTCAAGTGCAGCAAAGTAGATTTAGATATCTCAGGAATAGTCTCCTTACTGCTAGAACAGAAAGACAGTGGAATAGACTGCCCAGAGACATCACAGAATCTCTTCAAGTATTGTGTAGCTGGAAAAGCAATGAGCAGGGATGATTTGGGAATAGCAACTTGCATTCATACAGGCCATTGGATCAGATGACCCTTGAGGTCTCTTCTAGCCCTATGATTCTAGGACAGTGATTCTCAACCAGGGTGCTGCAGTACCCTGGGGTTCCTTGAGATCCTGTCAAGGATGCCGCAAGATGCTGCCCAATGTTAGCATTGTGAGGTGTGCAATCACCATTCACAAGATAAACCCAGAGATTTCAAATAGAAATCCACAGTGTTAGAAGCATTCTGCCCTGTTGTGGGCTGAGTTCTTTGCAACAGAAGAATGGCTCACAATTATTCTTCTGTAATCAAGAAATATGCAAAAGCTAAGAGCTGGCATTTTCTATGGGGGGCCTTGAGTCTAACTAGGGATGCCTCAAGTCTAAAAAGAATGAGAACCACTATTCTATGGTATCAGCTAAGCCACGCATATGCCTGTCAGCTGGCCATTCCCAAGAGACAGGGAAAGCTGGGGATCCCTGCCCTTCCCTTGTGTTATTAGCTACTGGTTGGAAAAAGCTGCATCCATACACCCAGACGAACGCAAGATGAAACAACTGACCTGATGGTGAGTCCACTCTCGATTTTGATGAGGTGCCGCTCTCGACCCAGCTCCTCCTCTAGGGTCTTGATAATAAACCTGAGACCCGCTACTTGCAGCTCAACCTCAGAACTGGATCTCTGGATCATCTCCAAAGCATCTGCAATCTTTTCCAAAGAGCTCTTCTTGCCTGATCCCTTCACACTGCAGAGTACTGGCCAGGACCAACAGGTTCATCAGCATAGCAAAAGGGTCTCACCTAACCCAGGTCAAGCCCCACCCTTCCTTGGAGCACTTTCCCCACAACCCTACCTCCCCCTCTCCCAAGCCCAACCACTCCAAGCTAACCTTGGGTTCCCCAACCCGAGCCCTGCATTCATTTCTCCAACAAGTCCAGAGCTGCCTTCATGCAGAGAGAGATGAGCAGGGACCCTCTCTGCCTAAAGAGCCCCCTGTGACAACTCTGGCCCAGAGCTGCCACCCCCAGCAGGACACCTGGGCTTCCCGCTGGCACTTACCCTTGGCTTTCTCCTCCAGCAACTCTGGCAAAACCAGCCCTTCTGCTTTGAAGAGTTCATTAAATAGCTGGGAGTCTGATTTCTCCACAGTGGCTGGGGCAGGGGAAGGCACATCAGCAGTAGGAAGGTCTGTCTTTGGTTTTTTAGACACCATGGCTTCAAGGAAGGCACTCCCATGGCCAGCACTCTCTGAAGGCACTGCATCTACCCCAACACTGTCTTGCTCCACCCATCCTTTGCTGAGGAAGTACTTGATGTAGACATGGGAGCTGTGGAGGTCACTCAGGGTGCTTCCCTGGCACTGCTTGCTCAGGACCTGCAACACTTTCTGGGCCAACTCCACTGGCACTGACAGCTGGGTCAGGGCTTCCTCACCTAGCTCCGACAGCTGGAAATACAGGGGTCTGAGTTAATCTTCATGGCCCCTCTACAGGCCTGACACCTACCCAGGGCCAGCCAGAGCCAAACCTCCCCATCTGCTCCTCAGTGCAATGACTTCATCCAGCCCTGCGACTTGTTCCTCTAGTTCCATCTCATTTCCACATCTCCCCCTCCTTCCCACAACACCTGATCTTCTCATATCCTTTCCCTTCATTAAATTCTTGCACTCTATTAGGGCAGAATGAAAAAATCCTAGGGAACAGTACCCATGTAGAGCCCAGGCAGGCTAGAAGCCCTCAAAGCTCTGGACAAGGAGGGGGGTGAAAGAACTACTAGAAGCCATAAGGTTGGCATTGTGGGAGGCTAAAGCAATAACAACAAATGCAAGCTCATGGTAAGTGCTGAGCAGCCTAAAAGGCTGGTGTAAAGAAGGACTCCTTTCCACACCATTATCAGCAAGGAGTCTCCTGGAAGCCTGCATCAGCTGCACATTTAAGGAGATGGACAGAAAGCAGCAATAGTTTTGTTTAATCCGTTAGAGGAAGTATCCATGATGGGCAGCAGCAAACCCACGCTGCTGCCTCCAACTCAGGGACTGAGAGTGAATGGCAGCAGTGTATTCGCCAGCACAGAGCACCTGCTAGGAGGCTGTCCTCAGACAAAAGCTGATATGCCAAGGAGCGTTCTCTCCCAGCCTCTTCTACTCCATGGCCAGATCACACATGTAACCCATAAAAGCACTGCTGACTGCCCCTTGCAGGTGCTCTATGGTGAAGAGATGCTTAGACTAATTTCTGCCTGATTTGCCCTGCTCTCACTTCTGCCACTCTGTCTTTCACCTCTTGGTGCTGCTGGATGAGGTGGATGATCTCCTGCTGCTCATGCAGTTCTAGCTTCTTAACAAAGAAGAGCAGTTCCCACCACTCAGCCCGGCTCAGGGTCTCTGTGTCCTCGCCCAGCTGGTCCATCAGGTACGGCAGGGAGTACAGCCCCCCAAGGGGCTTGCAGTAAAACGTCTGGGTAACTGCAGCTAAGCACATAAATGCAGTGAGAGCTTTTAATGCACCCACAGTTGGAGGCTAACCTTGGGGTTCCAGGGCATGGTGGTTACAGACCACAAGGAGATCTGCCTGGGTTATTCAGGCAGCCAAGTAAATCTGGAGTCTTGGTGTTTCTGTGAGGGGATGAGGCAGAGTATGAGGGGATGAGGTACTCTCCCACTCCCACAGTGCCTGTATATCTACTTGCATTTTGAGGAGTAAGAAACCAGTGGAAACTCTCCAAGCAGACAGAGAAAAGAAAGAACCGCTGGGGAAAAACCCATAGGTACAGAACCCTTCACTCTCTCCCTCATGAGTCTATTCCCCAGAGAGGCCTCCCTCTGGGGCAGCACAGCCAGAACCAGGGGCACAGCCCAAACCCCATCTCCAGCTATGGGTTAATAGGGTCCCAACATCAAGCTCCTCCTTAGAGTCTTAGGGAGTCACTGCTGTAGGACAGGGGCAAGGCACTATCACCACAGGAGGCCAGGGTTAAGAAATCTGCTCAGGGTCACTCAGCAGTCTTCAAAAGAGCCTGGAACTGAGTCCCAGCCCCTTTTCCCTCTTCACAGGAACAGCTTGACATTACAGAAGACTATGCGGGGGATGGGCAGGGAGCAGGTAGTGAGGGCCCCACAGGCTTCGGTTCATCAGGGCGCGTGTCCTGCACAGACACTCACCAGTTTTCAGTTTGAGGTTCTCTGTTAGACTGGACATCTTGTCCTGGACCTCACGCTCCACTTGCCCAAACGAACCCACAATCTCCACCATATGCCAGTGTACCCAATATGTACGACCCAAAGCCTGCCAATATACCTGGGGACAGGAGCCCAACATAGCCAGTTACTTAGGGCACCTTCTGGGTACCCTGGCATGCATCCCAGCAAGTCCCCCACACCAGCAAGAACACCTAGTGTTGTCTCTAACAGGATCAACATCCCTTTCCAGACCCACACAAGGACATAGACAGACACAGGAGTCTTTCAGGATGACACAGGCAGCCCCACACGGCTGAATAGGCACCTGCTGCCCACAGAAGTACCTGGACGGGTGGCATGCCATCGTTGCTCTGGCGGAACTCGCCTTCATCCCCAGCATTGACTTGCTCATAGTCCTCCAGCATACGCACCCACATGCCCCGTGTCAAGGTTGCCTGTACATACTCTGCATAGCTACTGCGGCTTGGGAAAGCAGAGCGTGTCTTGAAGGCACTGGCCTCTTTCTGGGGAGGGCCAGGGGCCACCTGGATGGGTGTGCAGGCAGGAGCCTTGGGCTGGAAGATGGAACGGATGACTCGAGGTCGTGCTTCCCACAAGGAGAGGCGCTCTATCTTCTGGCTGCAGTCCCAACCCATCACCCGCACCAACTCGGAGATGAGATTGGCCATGGCCATGCTGAACTCAAACTCCCGCTGCACGCGGGTCCTCTCCCCAAAGTGCGTACTGTGGGCAGCGCAGTCCTGACGCTCTGCCCCCAGTTCTGTGCTGCTGTTGACCTTGTCCATGAGAGAGGTGACACACAGGTAGCGCTTCACCAGAGAGAACAGCAGCTTTCCTGGGATCTGCAACAGACACGGGCTTCAGACCCATGGCCAGGAGAGCTCCAGTCATCCTCAGCTACCATTCCCCCCAGTCACACCACCACAATATAGGTCAGAGCAGGCAGCTGGTATCCCTCTGTACCCTACCCTGCCCTGCACCTACATCAGGCCCATAAGCCAGCCATCCCCACAAAGCCCCCCTCACCACATACTGCCTGCCCTGAACCAACCCATTCTGCCCCTGCCCTTTCCCTGACAGATACCACCCCCCACCCCCACCCCCACACACACTGGCCATCCTG